CCTCTCCTGGCCCGCCCGCTGCTTCCCTCAGCAGTGTACTTCGTAGATCTGCCTGTTCTGCTCCCCACTCTGTCTCTGTGAAGGAAGCCTCTCACCGCCCCTGAGCCTCTGGCCTGTACCCCAGTTCTGTATACACAAATAAATAAATAAATGTTTAAAAAAAAAATAGAAAACATATATATTATCTGTTTTCATATAGGAGCATGTGAATCAACTCCAGTGCTAGCATTAATATTCTGAATGGAACATCACCAGATATCAACCCTAGAAACCACACTCACTCACTGGAACAAAAAGTTTATAGATCTTATGGGGGTGAGAAGCCCCTAGCTCCTTTGTGAATCCCCATTTAACCACTGGAAGAGGAAAATCACTTAACTTGAAGAGTAGAAATAGTATTTTCCTGTCTTGCTCAAATAAACATCTGAGCATATATTAGGTGCCATTTTACATTAAACATAAAGTGTCTTCTGTTAATCTTTACAACAACACTAAAAAGTAAGACATTACTTCCACTTTATCTATGGAAATGCAGGTATAGTAGGCTAGCATCACACAGTGAGATAAGCCAACAATCTGACCCTTGAATCCTTACCACCACACTCTGTCTGCTGTTTCATATTTATTGGAAAAGGAAAGGGTAATTTTAAAAAGACATGAATAATTCACAAGGAGATATATAAAAGCATAAATGAATCATGGACTACAAAAAGCTTGATTTTTGCCACTATTCTCCAGTAAAATGAGCCAGGGGTGAGAAATGCACAATTCTAGGACTGAACCATGAAATATGCAACATGAGCTTGGAGCAATTAAGAAAGTACTAAAAAATAAAACCAAACCCATGGCCATGTCAAAGGGACAGAGAATTCAATTTGCCAAAGGCCAAATATGCAGAGTCCACAATAATATAAGTAGGTCTCTAATTAAGGAAATACATGGGAGAGAACCTAAATCTCCCTTGCTGGAGAGTTCCAAATAATTTATGAAGATAGTCTGCCCTCCAAAGTTGAGGTAACATAAGTCCCCACTTCTGAAAGGAAAGATATGCAGAGAAACTTTTTTAACAAAAAAGTTTCTCTTTATGGAAAGAGGGGTTGGAAGAATTAGAGTTAAGTGTACAGAGAAGAAAACTGACGAGCACTTCCATAGCTAGGTGATTAAGGTTTGTATCAATAGTGATAAAAAGATGATGCCATGCTGTGCCATGATTACCTCTGTGGTCGTCCTCCCAATCAAGTGAATGATGAGAAAAGTATTGGACACAGTGACATTATACAACCTGAATAAAACTATCAAGGTCATTGGAAAGTAAAGCAAAAGAGAAATGACAGGTAAACGTAGTTAGAGATCCTAGATGAGATCCTGAAATGAATTAGAAGTTAAGGAATCTGGGCCCTCCCTGGTGGCGTAACAGGTAGGATGCATCTCTGTAAGCTGGCTGCAACTGCTTCAGTGCAAGTTCGATTCCTGGCCCCCAGAAGTAATCCACATGGTGTGGCAGGCCTCTCCTGACCCATCCACTGCTCCCATCAGCAGTGTACTCTGTAGATCTGCCTGTTCTGCTCCCCATTCTGTCTCTGGTAAATCCTCTCACCACCCCTGCACCTCTGGCTTGTACCCCAGTTCTGTATGAATAAATAAATGAACAATGATAAAAAATACAAACAAATAAATATTTAAGAAGTTAAAGAATCTGAACAAAATGTTGGTGGTAGTAAATAATAATGTGTCATATTTTTTTATTAATTATAAGAAATGTGCAATACTAATTTAAAGATGTTAATAATAAGGAAGTAGGATAAAGAGGTATACAGGAATTTTTTATGTTATTGTCACAATTTTTTTGTAATTCTAAAATGGGTGCTTCAGTGACATTGAAGATAATAACACAAAGAATCAAGGGAACAGGAAAGAGAAAACAAGGAAAATAAATTGAAGAAACACTCTGAGAACTAGCTGACTCTATGAGGAAGGGAAATATAAATATAATGGGTGTTTTGGGGAAAAAAGTGAGAGTAAAGGAAACAGAGAACTCACACAAATAATCAAGGAAAACTTCCAAAACCTGTAGAAGTAAAGAAGTCTATGAAGCTAAAAGAACATCTGCTTACCTAAATGTAATGAATCCTACACCAAGATACATATTAGTAAAACTTTTAAAAGTTCAAGATAAGGAAAGACATTAAAACTGACTACAAGTAAAAAATAGATAACCTATAAAGTTTTCATCTAAGAAAATGGCAATGACATGACCAAAATGCTTAAAACAATTATCAGTCAAAAACACTTTATCCTCCAGCTCTCCTTCAGCTATGAGGGGAGAGTAAAGGCCTTCTCAAACAAAAAGAAGCTAAAGGACTTTGTGAAAACTAAATCACTACAGTAAGAAATGTGGGAGGGATCTTTCATATTAACAATGAAGAGAATAATATCCACAAAACTGAAAAAATAATTACACAAAACAAGAAAACAAAGGACAAAATGTTTGTAGCAGATCCTTAGACATCAATAACCACCCTAAATGTAAATTACTGAACTCACCAATAAAAAGTAGATGATAAGATCAAAATCAAAATCCAACTTTCTGCTCTCTCCAGGAAATGCATCCAATCTCCACAGATAAATATGGTATCAGAACAAAGGGTAAAACAATCCTACAAGCAAATGGGACCCAAGAAAAACAGGGACAGCCATATTTATAACAGGTAAGATAGATTTCCAAATTTTAAAAAAAGGTAACAAGAGTTAAAGATAGATGCTATATGATGATTAAGGGAATAATACATCATAAGATATACACTCACCAGAATAGAGTCGCCAAATGAAGGAGCATCAAAATATATAATATATATATATAATATATATATAATAATATATAA